ATTCCATGAAGATTTTCATACTACTGTCAAGCTATAATATTGCTTTTTGAAGTTTATTGTAAAGCACACAGGAGGACAACTATTTCCAAATTCTGGATGTGTTGGTCAGTCAGCATCACTGTAGCATCAGATTTCTATCTTACTAACAAATATTTAGTGTGGGGCAACATTGAGTAAATATTTACAGTGACACTCGGGGTGGACATTGTGACATTCATTTAATTTTCCTGCTTTTTTGTTTTATATAATGTTTAGGACCTATAACGTTGACAAAACAATTACTCTATTAGCAAACATATTTACCTAATTAAGGACAAAACATCTTTTTCACTGTGTTGTTCTTGCTATTGGCATTTGCTTCTATTTTTTTACTTGCACATTAACTGACATCTCTGAAGTGCCATGCACCTGATTCTGTCTTTTTTAACTTTTTTTTTTTATGAAGCTTATCAGCACAACACATTTTATTGTTGTTAAATATTGAGATGAAATTTCTATACCCATGAGAATCTGTAGTGTTTTTTGGATGAGTGGAAAAAAGCCAGTATTTTAATATGTTGGTGGTATTAAGGTACAATAGCACTGGAAAACAGGCGAGAACTGTGGATTTGCAGCATTAAATCAATGTTCATTTTGGGTACTCACTTTGACAGCAGATCTGGATCTGAATTTATTTTGGGTGTGTGGAAAAAGCCAGTATTTTAATATGTTGGTGGTATTAAGGTACAGTAGCACTGGAAAACACCTGAGAACAGTGGACAGGGGCGTCGCCTAGCCTGAGCTTCAGGAAGCCACATTTTTCACATAACCCTGACTCTTAACAATGTTGTTCCAGTCATTTTGCCAGCTTTATATTTGTTGAGAGCCAAATACAGTCATAAAATAATTCACATATCCCATCCATGCATATCATTACATAGCAATGTGTAATGCAGAAAGTTTGTAATTGAATTAAGTAGTCCCTGGTTTATCCGATTACAATCGCAAGCGTAATGCTGAGTTCTGCTAGGGCTGGTACAGCATTTGCGATGTCATGTTGGTGCCGAGACTAGCTGGTCATGCACATTATCATTTAATGTCTCCTTTTATCTTAAATGTAGATATTTAATGTTTGTAACAGGCATTCATGTAGGACACTGGACGCTGCTGTCTTAAAGTGATGGGAGGGATGGATGCATGACATCATTACTTTTGGCACATGTGAGCAGAGCTTTTTCAGTCAAAGACAAGTTTTCTAGCCAGAAGTGTGTATATATAAAACACTGACATTTTCGATGAACATGAGCTTTAACATAAGACATAAATTTAAGCAACTTTTAAACAAGGATTGATAGCTGAAAGGAAGATTTATCAGCAACAGGTTCTCAGGCACAAGCTCTCTTTGCATTGTGCATTTAATAAATAAAGAGCCTACTCTGCACCCCCTACTGGCGCTTTCAAGTATTATCACACAAAGGTGCTGGTATTCTGCGTGGATTCGCATCATTAAATCACTGTTCATTTTGAGTGCTCGCAATGAAGGTAGATCTGGATCCAAGGCATAGCTACCTGTTTTAAATTGCCTCCACCATTCTTCAAGAACCATTTTAGTGAGATGAGGCTCAGCATCGCCCCAGGAAGAGAGCTCGTGGCTTGGCTTAGGTTAAGTCTTGCCAGGCCAGACGTCTTATGATCTTATTATATTTTTAGCACTGAAATAGTATCCCTGTGAATGTACCTTGAATATGAAGTTCCAGGTACTCAAATGATGTGTCTGAGGGATCTGTAAAAGTGAGACCTGAAACGTTTACCACATAGAAGATGCCCATTTTGAAAGCCAAATAAAAAATGTCAACCACCCAAGTTAAAATTGATTCATCCTTGTTGGCAGTGGTCTCCGTTTCCACGCCTGCTGTGGCAGTATGCTTTAGCTAGACTGCTTGACAGTTTGGGTTTTCAAGTTTGCTGCTTTTTTCTATCTTTATGTCTGTTTTAAATTGCATTTGTAGTTAGGTTTATTTTGAACTGTGTTCTAATTACTATGTAAGTAATCTTGCTACTGTTTGGTCTCAATTGGAAAAAAAAAAATATGTGCTCATAGTGGTGATGTGCCAACACGGTGGTTAGTATACTGCCATTGTGGTGCTGCAAAATTAATTGAAGGTCCTGGACAAGTGATTAGAACTACTTTAACTTTTCGTTTTTAGCGGTTAAGCTCAATTCATGCTCGCGGGCACCCCCTGGCATTTTGCAGTCATGTTTTTGATATAATGAGAGAAACAGGAAAGGAGAAACAGGCTTCAACTTTAAGCAAATTACACAGTGCTGAGCAAATCAGGCAAAAGCAAAATTGTCTGTGCACAACAAGGATGTGTTTACATGGTTACATGATTACATGGAAGTTAATAATGGCCTGAAAGACATAGAAGGAAAGTTAATAACAGCTGTGTCATGGGTTTCCCATTCTGTAAGATCCAAGACTAATACAAGATAAAATTAAATGAAATACCGCATGGCAGAAAGTCTGACGTTGTCTGTGTTCCTGATGATTTAAAATAATTGTAATTATAGCAGGCTAACATTTTTAACTATTTTTTTTGTTTGTTTGTTGATAGCCCGGCAACAAACACTGAACTATTCTGACCTTTATAAATTTATTCTAGGATTTTTTAGGTGGGGCCAAAATAGAGCTACAGTTCCTTTTCAGGGGCCAAATTCTAAGAGCTCCATAATTACAATATCTATATATTTGTATATACTATTTTCATTATACACATATTATTCAGCGTGTTTTACATTCAGCAACAGACATTGTAAAATTTAATCATGAGGTAATAATTTCACAACTGCCAAATACAGACATGCAAAGTTGTAAGCAGTGAAAAATGTTCAGAAACCAACCCTGGAGTTGAAACAATGTCAATATCTTGAAAACTGCTGGACGAGTTAGCAGACAAAAATCCGCAGGAAGAAGAAGAAGGATATAAATCGGATAACAATAGTGTTGTGCACTGCTTTGCAATTTCTAATTGTCTAGTTTTCAGATGCCTCTGAAGGCATCTATTAATTGCATCAGATAGATGTGTTATAGATATGTTATATACACTATATTGCCAAAAGTGTTCACTCACACATCCAAATCATTGAATTTAGGTGTTCCAATCACTTCCATGGCCACAGGTGTATAAAACCAGGCACCTAGGCATGCAGACTGCTTCTACAAACATTTGTGAAAGAATGGGTCGCTCTCAGGAGCTTAGTGAATTCCAGCATGGTACCGTGATAGGATGCCACCTGTGCAACAAGTCCAGTTGTGAAATTTCCTTGCTACTAAATATTCCACAGTCAGTGGTATTATAACAAAGTGGAAGCGATTGGGAACGACAGCAACTCAGCCACGGAGTGGTAGGCCACGTAAAATGACAGAGCGGGGTCAGCGGATACTGAGGCGCATAGTGCGCAGAGGTCGCCAACTTTCTGCAGAGTCAATTGCTACAGACCTCCAAACTTCATGTGGCCTTCAGATTAGCTCAAGAACAGTGCGTAGAGAGCTTCATGGAATGGGTTTCCATGGCCGATCAGGTGCATCCAAGCCTTATATCACCAAGCGCGATGCAAAGCGTCGAATACAAGCATGTAAAGCATGTCGCCACTGGACTCTAGAGCAGTGGAGACATGTTCTCTGGAGTGACGAATCACGCTTCTCCGTCTGGCAATCCAATGGAGGGGTCTGGGTTTGGCGGTTGCCAGGAGAACGGTACTTGTCTGACTGCATTATGCCAAGTGTAAAGTTTGGTGGAGGGGGGATTATGGTGTGGAGTTGTTTTTCAGGAGTTGGGCTCGGCCCCTTAGTTCCAGCAAAAGGATGCTTCAGCATACCAAGAGATTTTGGACAATTTCATGCTCCCAACTTTGTGGGAACAGTTTGGGAATGGCCCCTTCCTGTTCCAACATGACTGCGCACGAGTGCACAAAGCAAGGTCCATAAAGACATGGATGAGTAAGTTTGGTGTGGAAGAACTTGACTGGCCTGCACAGAGTCCTGACCTCAACCCGACCGAACACCTTTGGGATGAATTAGAGCGGAGACTGCAAGCCAGGCCTTCTCGTCCAACATCAGTGTCTGACCTCACAAATGCGCTTCTGGAAGAATGGTCAAAAATTCCCATAAACACACTCCTAAATCTTGTGGAAAGCCTTCCTAGAAGAGTTGAAGCTGTTATAGCTGCAAAGGGTGGGCCGACATCATATTAAACCCTATGGATTAAGAATGGGATGTCACTCAAGTTCATACGCGTGTGAAGGCAGACGAGCGAATACTTTTGGCAATATAGTGTATCTCCAGGACCAAGACTGGGGCTATCAGGTTTCTTCTGGAGCCAGTGGCACTCTGGCCCTGCCCTTAGATCCGACCTTGGAGACTAGACTGCCTAAGAAAATTTATAAAAAAATTTTTTCTGAAATGATAGACAGGTTGAATCGTGTCCTGCGTTGTATGATGTCACCCCTCAAGCGGCGAGGCACTGGCGAAGGAAGCGGAGGGAGACTTCCACACCGCGTGCAGTGGACGCGAAACATGATTACACTGTCTTTCTCTATAAGAGTGATTTACATATACGTAAAGTTAAATTACGTTTAGTTCAGGTTCACTTTTTCTATTTGAGCCCCTTCGTGTGGTCATGTTTGATTTTGTTTTGGTTGCTCGTGCCTCTCTCGGTGTGTGTATGATAGTGGTACCGTTGTGCATCCCCTAATTGTGGCACTTTCTCAGCTTCACTTGATTGAGAGTTCCTGGAAGTTGATGGAAAATACAGCCCCTGGATTTGCTTTTCTAGCTAGCAGAGACAGTGAGTTGATTTAAATTTGGTCTGTGAATTCACTCCCAAAAAGGTGAACTTATACCAGTTTGATAACTCTGATAACAAGAGTGGCCTTCAAATTTACACACAAAGCATATGTAGGCTGTAGTGACGTGGTATTCTCCATTTTATAGCAGCAGTTGATCATTTGCTTTTATAAAATGCTATTTTGATAAACTCAATATGCTTTTCCTTGTTTGGACGCCAGAGGCCACCGTAGAACTGACCCTGACCACTCCAAATAGTCGAGGGAGAAAAGAAATAATCGGGCCGACTGAACCTCCTTCCACCACAGTAAACACTCATAGCAGTTTGCACATGGCCAACACTTCGAACAAGCCCTCGGAAGAGGTACTCAAACCACTCAGTAGACTCAGAAACACATCAGTTTTCTTATCTTTATAACCAGAGTTGGACTGTGCTTTTTTTTTCAGGTAGAAGAGGAGGAAAGTGGGGACTCATTTGAGCTTAACATAGCTGTCACAAATCCTGAAAAAATGGGTATGTTTAGGCCGTTTTGGTTTTAATAGTCTAAATAGTTGTGTTATCTGTATCTGCGAGTTTTTTTCTTTTCTGGTCACCGCTTTAATGTTTTCATCAGACTGTGTAGAGTTTTTGTCGCAATGTCAAAAATGTGTCCGTGCCTGGAGAATCAGGGCTAAAATCATGTAGTGTGCACTCGGTTTAACAATAGCTCCGCTGGCAGAACCCTTGGTCTGAGAAGAAAGAAACAGCACCATCTTGTGGTTTAAGAAAGACATGCATTTTGGTAATCTATTAGTGTACAGTTTTCCAGCTCTGGTCCCCGTGAACCCCCTGCCCTGCATATTGTAGTGTTTTGTACAAATCCCACTACAACTTGTTAATTGGCTGATTAGTTGGATCAGGTGTGTTGAGCGCAAGCGACACTTGAGGACCAGGGTTGGAAACCACTGTATTAGTGTAACAAAAGGCTAAATACTTGTTAAAATGATTAAAAAATAAACAATAAAATATTAATACTCGGGCCTCTGTGTCTCGATGCTGTCTTTAAACCCCAAAACAAGCCAACTGATGCATGTAACAACAAATTTTTAGCCTCCCTTTATGCAGTGGCATTGACTGACATGGTAGTGGTAGTGTATGTTGCACTTGTAGGAGTGTGGTTTTAAAAACCTCAGTATCACTGCCTTTTTTGCTATCTATGTTGCTATCAAAATTGTTCACAAATAATTTATGAAGTTTAATATATGCCTTCATCGGACGTGCCTCTAGGTCTGTATTCATCTGATTACAATATTTACTATAATACTTAAAATCACTTCGCGCTTCTATCTGATGCCATCCTGAATAACAATAATGCAGTTTGCGGTCCAGACCAGCAAGCGGCGATGTAACAGCGGTTACTTCAAACCGGGAACACAAATAGGATGTTTTGAGGTGGATGATGTTACTGTGTCGTGCAGCATCTTTTGTCAGTCCAGTTTGCTGCATTTCCAAGTCAGAAATACTCTCGATCAAAAACCAGTTATCTTAGTAATTTGTATTGCACTATTTCTGGGCCTAAGTAGCAAAACAATGTCGCTTAGTTCAGTGCGAAACCCCCCTCCTTTCTTAGACAGCGAGGACCAGGAGCCAGAGTACGACACAGGAGACCTGGATAGCGACGATGGAGAGGATATATTCACCGGGACAAGCGTACGCAGTTATCGTACATTTTCTTTTCCTGTCAGACTGCTTAAGTACTTAAAAAGTCGGATTGTTATTACGTAGGACAGAACACTCGACCATAGGCAACTGTTATGACTTACTTACTGATTAAGGGCACACGTTACGTTACTTGGTATTGGATAACGGATTGACTAACGTTAGCTTGCTAGCGAGTTAGCTAGCTAGCCAGCCAGCCAGCAACAAATTACTTAGTCGTTAGCCGGCTATCTGTCAAATGTGGCTAGTAAGTAGGCTAACTAACTACTACTCAGAGTGTGGTGTGTGTGGTGCTAGCTAACACTTGCTGTTCTTGTCAAACAGTTCGCGGACAAAAGTAATATTTTCACGCTCTGTGTATGGTCCTTTTTCGCAGAATACGCCATTTGTGTCAACGCCACCAGAGACTGACCCCTCCTCAGACATCTTTAGCGAAGAAGGGTCGTACTCAGTGCAGAAGCATACGGCTGCAAAAACCAACGGCGTTCTGTCCGATGAAGAGCTGGATTTGTTCGCAGGTAGAACTCCGCCTAAGGTCTATGAGCAAGGCTGCTTCGCCCTCAGGTGCACTTATTCTATTTCCACTCCCTTCAGTCCTGTTCTCTGAAAGCGATGTGCTACCATTGCTGAATGGGTTGTAACGGAACGCTTGGCTTTGACAAGGTTTCAGAAACGTCTGACAGACAGCAATAACAAAAAAATGTGCGCGTGTCCTACTGATTTCCATATAGACACTAGAGATGTAGGTATGGTCAATATATAACGTTTGACTAGGGTTCGGATAGTAACTATGTTTATCAGCATATATATTTATACGTTTCTCTAGGTGTTCCCTGGCATTGGAATTGTGGACAGATGCTGATATTTTTCATGTTCATGTCTTCTGATACATAATTATTTGTAAATTGTTAAAACAAGGACCACATTTAACTGGATTATCATTATGGAGAAATAAAGCATGTGGTTCTGTAGGATTATAAATGCAGTTAAACAAATAACATGCAGACATTTAACACAGTAGCCCATTGGCAAATAAATGTTCTGTCATGAAATGATGTTCATCATGAAATATCAGTTTCAAATATTGGTTAAACGTAAACATTTGTTCAATGCTGATAATTATTTATAATTATTACTTACAATTATTCAGCAGTTAACTTCCCGTACTGATATGATTGTGCATCCCCTAATTGTGGCACTTTCTCAGCTTCACTTGATTGAGAGTTCCTGGAAGTTGATGGAAAATACAGCCCCTGGATTTGCTTTTCTAGCTAGCAGAGACTGTGAGTTGATTTAAATTTGGTCTGTGAATTCACTCCCAAAAAGGTGAACTTATACCAGTTTGATAACTCTGATAACTAGAGTGGCCTTCAAATTTACACACAAAGCATATAAATGGTTTCTTGAGTAAAATGTAGGCTGTAGTGACGTGGTATTCTCCATTTTATAGCAGCAGTTGATCATTTGCTTTCATAAAATGCTATTTTGATAAACTCAATATGCTTTTCCTTGTTTGGACGCCAGAGGCCACCGTAGAACTGACCCTGACCACTCCAAATAGTCGAGGGAGAAAAGAAATAATCGGGCCGACTGAACCTCCTTCCACCACAGTAAACACTCATAGCAGTTTGCACATGGCCAACACTTCGAACAAGCCCTCGGAAGAGGTACTCAAACCACTCAGTAGACTCAGAAACACATCAGTTTTCTTATCTTTATAACCAGAGTTGGACTGTGCTTTTTTTTCAGGTAGAAGAGGAGGAAAGTGGGGACTCATTTGAGCTTAACATAGCTGTCACAAATCCTGAAAAAATGGGTATGTTTAGGCCGTTTTGGTTTTAATAGTCTAAATAGTTGTGTTATCTGTATCTGCGAGTTTTTTTCTTTTCTGGTCACCGCTTTAATGTTTTGCAGGAGATGGCATGAATGCTTACATGACCTATAAAGTGTCCACACAGGTTTGCTGATAAAAAACATCTCACATTAGCTAATACTTTGGAATTTATTCTATAGGAAAAAAATTTGCAAAATTGTACCCCTTTTCCACACAGACTACACTGCCTGTTTTCCACATTAAAACATTCTCTGTGCGTCGGAGGTTCAGTGATTTCCTGGGTCTGTATGAAAAGCTGTCAGTGAAATACAATCTGATGGGCTGCATCATTCCACCCCCACCTCAGAAGAGCGTGGTTGGTAAGAAATCTCACTTTAATCTGTCAGTTCAATGGCATCTTACACTGCCGAAATTCCACTGAGCCTTTAGCGATCACTGCACACTGTCAGCTTTTTCAGTAATTGACAAGCATGATGGACACGTGTCACAGCATAGGATTTTAGTGAACGTGTTTTATTAGGAGATGTCTCACCCTGTTTTTATCTCCATCTGATCTGTTGTTCCTCACTGCCAGCCTGGAGGACTACATCAGTATACAGTGCAGTGTTGTCAAGTTACGTGTTTTGTAGATTTTCTAAGTCATAATTAGCACAAATCTTCTATAGAGAACACACTTTTTATTTTAATTCACAGTTACTGTTTAAGTGCTGAATTTACCATTCTGAAAAAAGAAAATGTGGCCTGTGCAAAAGGTATGGCATGTTTTACTAATAAGTTAACTCAAAACTCAAAAAATAAATAGTGCACTGAAATTAGCAGTGCCATATTAAGTTTGTTCTCTGTAAAGGACATGTTATCTTCACTTGGAAAATCAACAAAATGTAGTTTGACAGGGGGTGTTTGCATATGATTGCATATGCTGGGTTTTGTTCCACAAACATGAATGGAAATCTACTCTGACACTTAGAACAAAAACAGAGCATGGAAATATCTTCTATTTTGTATAATGTTCATACACTAGTTTTTCTATTGTTTTGTTATACACATACATTGTTTATTGTAGCTATACATGATTCATCTTACTTATCTTTTTGTATATCATCCATGCAATGTTATATTTAACTGACTGATTAGATGAATTTGTGTCTTCATTTTATGTGTTAGGCATGACTAAAGTCAAGGTAGGGAAAGAGGATCCATCCTCAGCTGAGTTTGTGGAGAAGAGAAGAGCAGCTCTGGAGAGGTAACCTTACTCAGCAAATTGCATTTGTAGTATGTAGAAAAGTGTCTGATGCAGTTCATTACAAACAGATATTTTAGCTATGAAAGTTTGAGTTTAGTTGCTAATTTAATGTATGTTGATGTGTAACTGGTAAATGCAGGTATCTCCAAAGGGTGGTATCTCACCCAGCGCTGTTACAGGACTCTGATGTTCAAGAGTTTCTGGAGAGAGAAGAGGTAGGCTTAACTTCAATGCAAGCATGTCCAATAAATTTTAAAGAGGCATTCACTATACAAGTACATCACACAGCCATTAGAGTTCTCTCTGATGTCAACCAATCCTGACTGCCTGTCTAGAACACTAGAGACAAGATTTTTATCCTTTCACCTAGAGAAGAGAAGCCAGCATTGAGGCAAAGTATCTAGACAGCCGTAGAGCTGAATGATTTGGGGAAAAATATCTAATTGCAATTTTTCTGACTAATATTGTGAGTGCGATTTCAGTTGCAATTGTTTTCTATAAATTAAGGTTCAGGTCTGTGGTCAATAAGATCAGAATATCCACTTTTTCTGGCTTGAGGCTTGAACACTGAATGTCGTGTGCCAGTCTGCCAGGAAGTTGTGGTTGTGATGTTACAACACATGGAGGTTTGGTTGGATCTGATTGGTCTAACTCATCTACCAGAAGTTCACAAGCTTTGTGAGCTTTAAGACAACATTGTTGATCATGTAGACTATACAGCAGCTTCTGCCATTTGAAAATTGCACTCTCTTAAATTGCAATTTCGATAGAGAAACGATTAATCTTTCAGCCCTAGATAGCCAGGCAGTTATCTTGCTAACCTTTGCATTTATCTCAGAGGTACATCCCTGGAGGTCCTGGAGGGCTGGTGTCCAGCACAGTTTGGTGATTTACCTGCTCAGACACACCTGATTACACTCATCTGTTAATAGCCAGATTTAGTGGGTGAGTTTTAGGAGGGAGATTACCAAACTGTGTTGGACACTGACCCTCCATGACCAGTGCCAAAAATCTACCCCAAAGCTGTTGTATTTTTTAAAAGCTTTCTTCTACTTTAAGTATGCATCCTTAGAAGGATGTTTTCGTGGTCTTTAAATCGGAAAATCTTGCTCTAGAGACACTGTGGCTCTGTTATAGGACATGAGGAGGCATGTTTATTTTTAACATTGTAAGACAATTATTGTGTATCTACATATATTTGCATATGTGTGTGTCAGTTACCTAGGGCAGTGAATACCCAGGCTCTGAGTGGATCTGGTCTCCTCAAGATGATAAACAAAGCATCAGACGCTGTGAACAAGATGACCATAAAGATGAATGAGTCGGATAACGTAAGAAACCCAAAAATCCCAAATTTATGTTCTGGATGCCATCAGCATTATCTTTTCTTATTATCAGCTCTCTGTTTGTAACTATTGCTTACAATTTAGCTAACTTGTTTAAAGGTGGTCATAGGTGGCTGTATATATTGTAGTGGTTTGAGAGCAAGCTGCAGGAGGTGGAGAATGAGGAGCAGTTGTTGAGGAGGCTCCATGCTTCAGTTGATTCGCTGGTTAATCACAGAAAAGGTGAGAACAAAAATTAAGTTTTAATGAACAGTCTGGATGTTACAAAGTGATGATTCTTTGCTGTAAATATTTTGTAAATGAGAACCGAATGTCTGTTTCTCTGTAGAGTTGTGTAGTAACACTGCCATGTTTGCCAAGAGTGTGGCGATGTTGGGCAGTTCGGAGGAGAACTCTGCACTGTCGCGTGCACTGTCCCAGTTAGCAGAGGTGGAGGACAAGCTGGAGCAACTGCATCAGGAACAGGCCTTCAGTGACTTCTTCATCCTCACTGAGCTGCTTGCAGACTATGTACGACTGTTGGGAGCTGTGAGGGTGAGAAAACATTCTGCATTCTGCATGTTTAATGGAGTCCAAGTGTCTTTGAAAAACCTAGAACGTCTGTGAATATTTATGAATTATATTTTTGCTATTATTCCATTCACATGGCCATATGAATACTAAAGACTTTTCTGGTCAAAAAAGGTGACTGATATTTTGAAAATGCCACCGTAACATAACTAGAAATACTTTTTGTATTACAATATAAATTCAACTGTTAGTATGAATACATGTCATAAAGCCTTATTTAGGGCTGGCACGAATAATTTCAGTACCTGAGCATTTATTTGTTATGTTGGCGTTTGTATTTCTTTTTAGTATTTGGACATTTCATTCTTTTTTAAGCCACAGAAAAAAGCTGAAACTGAAATCAATTTCAACAGCAAAAGATTTTCAAGTAGAACAGTGATTGTGTTATGTATGCTATATAATGATATATATTATTTATGGAAAATGCTAAAAAAACTAATTATGGCTGGTTTAGTTGAGTACGGTCATTAAATTTATGCTGAGCATCCATGTCACCTCGCCTTAGAGAGCTAGAACTGCCTTTGAAAAGAATCAGTATCACTAAGAAATGACTGTGATAAGACTGGTATACCTGTATGTAAGTTTGATGAATCATCTAAATATGTAAGTAATGAGATCCTTATAAGTATAACCTCCTTCAGGTGGGGGGAAAAAGCACTTAATAACAATTGAATAGAGGGTTTAAAACTTGACAGCACAAACAGCAGGTCTCAAAATCACAGTCAAAACTTTTTAATGCTGTTTGTGTCAGTGAAGAATCTGTTGTACAGTGCAGGAGCTGCAAGACCACAAGAGCATAACATTGTAGTAGGTCTGGACGATATCTAAAAATAAGGCGTATGACATTTTCTAATTTGTCCTACAGATTGTATCACAACCTCTCCCAAACCAATACACGCAGTCCTTGGGACCTTTTCTATTCTGTTTTACTTTATATACTTTTTTAAACATTAACTGTTTGCCCAGGCCTACACTGCAGTAAGTAAAAATTTTAAGAGTTGATTAGTTTGACAGCAAAAATAGACTGCATAAAAACGCAGCAGGACACAACGGCTTGTGTTTTGACAGTCGTCCAGCACAGCTGGTGTGGAGTGAAACACTGGTTAAAATAAAAGCCTGTTTGTTCCATTAGAAGATTGTTGCTGCCTACTGGATATATTTTGAACTGCAGTAATGAGCATGGTAATTATGAAATGACATATATTGTTTTTAAGCATGGTTTTGAAAATTAGTATTCAAGCACTCTATTGAAAATGTGTTTTGAAGCCTGTAAAATGCTGTTCAGGCTGGCCCTAAGTCTAAAGGTGTGATAGAGAAATTCAGAAGTCTCAAAATCTTGTTTCGAAAGCCATTTTGCATTCCTCTTTTAGCTAAATGAAAGATGGGGGGGGTATGAAAATACCACCACACTGTTTAGGATTCCCTTCTAAACTAAGACCAAGCAGGGGTGGTGGGCAAAATGTATTGTTCCAAAAAAAAAATCGCAGCTGGCTGATTGACAAAATGCAATTAGGCAACTGACTAAAACTGCCTCTCCTGTAATGCTAATGGCATGTCTCTGTAAATCTAATGATGGACAGTGTCAGCCACTTTGTTTAGCCTCAGATAGCGAACTTTGCTAGCTGACATCTCTGAAGAGCATCAGGCTGTTTTCATACCCAGTTCATTTTCTGAAGTCTACATCCATTTTGCAGGGAAGCAAGTGCTCAGTTACTCTCACATTTGCTATCATAAAAATGAAATAAACAATAGTGACACTTATCGTCTATGTGTATCACAATCATAGCAACAGTATTAAACATTAAACCTAACTTTATATCTGCTTCTTTATGATTATGATGCTTTGCCAAAATTACCGTGTGATCCATGTGGCAAATTCAAAAGCATATTTACTATTATTTTATTTCTCATCTTCTGTTTTGAACAGCAACTAAAGCTGCAGGAACAATGAGTGTCTGTAAAGACTAAAATGTTAAACAGGCAGATTACACAGGCAGTACAGTGCTGTTGTGCACTGAGAAAAGTGCATTGTGGTGTTGAAGTCCCCCATGAACAGTTCTTTGGTGTGAACCTGAATATGGGTGGAGTAAAGCACTAAAGAAAACCAAACTAAAGAAAATTTTGGTAGGTCCACACCAAACAAGGTAGGTGTGAAGAAGCCCTTAGTTTAGTGCGCCAGCAGTAAGAAATACTCTAACATTCAGAAAGTTCTCGTAGTGAAGTAACATAAACTGTGACCCGGTGCATTAGTTTGTATATCACAGTGAAAACATGTTTGCCTGATTAGTGAGCTGCAGCTCCTCTAACTGAACACAAACTCAGGACAGCTTTACTATTTGGGAAATGTCCTGCCTCCCAGCTGAAATAGGGGTTTTCATTGGTCCTGCTGCTGAGTTTGACTGACTGTTCATGTTAGTGTTGCCCTACAGTTTAGGGAAAGCAGTTTTTAATGTAAGTGTCCTGAACTCAATCAGATAGTGGTGGGCTGTCGCCCCAGTACTTTAAAAAGTGGTGGTCAAATGCCCACTTGCCCCTTTTGGTTCTGGCAGCCCTGAGACCAAGAATTAATGTCTTCATATCTTAAGCATTAAATGGCACACATACTCTGATACACAGTTGGATAAGCGATTCATATGTGTTACATGTTGATTTCATGAATTAATATAATTTTTTTAACGTTTTGAGTTTGTTGTTGTCAGGGCTGTTTTGAGCAGCGTATGAAGGCCTGGCAGCGTTGGCAGGAGGCACAGAGCACTCTCCAGAAGAAACGAGAGGCTGAAGCTAAACTGCTCTGGGCCAACAAGCCTGACAAACTACAACAGGCTAAAGAAGACATCACTGAGGTTACACAACCATACAACCATCACACAAATCTGTATACTAGCATAGTCATCAAAACAAACTTTACGTACTGTGTACTCAAACCTACTCAGTTTTTAGAAAGGTTTTTTTATGTAAGCACAAGTCGGTACACAATTGCACACATCCTACAGGCACATCTAAGCTGACATCTTACTTGAGGAAAAATAGCAATTATGCCTATATTTTGTGCCAGCATCTTGTTAGATTTTGGTCTCAGCTTGTTTTCCCTGCATGAATCAAGGTTTCAGTTGAGGTGAAGAAGGTCCACACACTTAGGCATTGTATTAGCATGTTTACTTTTCAGTTCCAGATGACTGCCTTACTGTGTCTCCCCTTCTCCCCTTATTTTTTCCCTTCTCTGTACAGTGGGAGGCTAAAGTGGGCCAGTGTGAAAGAGATTTTGAGCGAATCAGCTCCACCTTGCGGAAGGAAGTGCACAGATTTGAGGTGAGACCAGGGAAGTCTGTTTGGTGGTTTGGGGTGGGTGTACCAAACAGGGGAGGACACTAGGGCATCTAGTAGCCCTGCACAGCATATTGTTCCATAATTGTTATGGTAACATAGATTTTCACAATAAGCATAATGGCCTCTAACAAATCACTAAATGTTTTACTGTGTGAGTAAGCATCCTTATAATTCAGATATTTGAGTGTTTTGATGAATCCAGGCATTCACGTGATCCAGCAAATATAAATAATACGAAGTGTAGCCAGTCTTTTAATCATGTCACATCAGGCGTTCATGAATGCATTTTCAATATACAGGAAACTCCATACAGCACTGTTTAAAAGTTAGAGACCTTTCGTTTGTTTAATTTCCTCTCAAAACAGCCATTAAGTACAAGTTCATTTTTCATTTTTCAGCATCAGTGGAAAAGCAGAAAACTTGTTTTAACAGAAAATTAAATATAAGCCTCAACAATTAAATGTAAAAAATTTCAGCCTTTTAGTTGAGAAGAGGTACCTTTTGCCTTTGATACAGCTTCCATTTTTTTCATGTGGCTTGCTTTCTGTTTTTCTAAGAAATCTGTATGGACATTTTTATGTGTTGTAAACACCTTCAAAGTTCAGTCTTATGCCGGCCTTACACCAAATGACATTTCAAGCAATTTCACTGTTGCAGACAAATTTCCAATGTTGGAATAAAAATCATGAGAGTCTTGCTAGAGTTGTGTCACGCTCGGGTCATCTCAATCGTTTAGTGTAAAGTGGTCAGTCTTTTTTTGTCTTGAAGCTACGACAAAATCAACGGTGTTGAATATTATTGTACATTTTAAGTCTTGGCTCATGCAAATAATGACGTGCCAGGGGGGCGCCTGAGACCAAGTGAGGAAGCGAGCACAGGGGGGGAGGGGGAGAGAGAGAGAGAAAGAGAGAGAGAAAATGCATGAGTGAGTGCCTGAAATCTCTGTTAAAAAAAGGCAAATCTGCTCCACTTTAAAACAATAATCATATTCACTTAAAATGTAACTGGCTGTTTTAATAGTTCATGTTCACTGAGCCTGTAACAGTGATATTTTCTGTTACTGTGGTTTCTTGTTTTGTTTGTTTCTTTATGGTTTAGTTTGTAACACCCAATCAACAATGCTGAACCACTGCATGTTTTGTTGATGTGTAAATCTTTGTCAATTTAAAAAAGTAACTGCACATTTTACAGGTTAATTATAAAAACTCTGGCTGATGATCTGCCAGAATATACAGTTCTACAGTGAACTGCTGTGAGCCCCAGATCTTTACATGGCCAGTCAGCATATCTTCCCATCTGTACCACTACGAAGTGGAAGGAAAAGTGTTGATCTGCTTGTAAATTTCCACCAGATGCATGATGGGGAATGATCTCAAAAATCTAATTGCAGTCTTGCAAAAAAAAGTCTTGTATCTATTTCATCAACAGTATCTCCTGAAAATGACTAAGTTTTACTTATTTGCCATTTTGACTAAGAAAGGGTGGTCTCTGAGGTTTAGAACATCTTCCTTGTTTTCTTCTTACAGAAAGAGAAGTGCAGAGATTTCAAACACCACATAGTGAAATACCTGGAGTCTCTCCTTCGCTCACAACATAGGGTGCGTGCATGTTTGTGTGTATTTATGTGTTTGTTTGTTGCATGCGAGTATCTTTTACTGACTCCTTACCATCCTCTCTTAGTTGGTGAAGTGCTGGGAAGCGTTCCTTCCGGAGGCTAAAGCCATCGTGTGATACCTCTGCCTGATGATGTTGCAACTGCCCCCTGTACATTCCTGACCTCTAAACACCACTACACTCACTCTCTTAACATGCAAACATGCACTTACATAAACACTTATGCACTGAAGAGGGAAAATCACTTTCTACCCATTTATATTTGTTCTCAGAACATTTCAAGTGATGCTGTTTCATTCCAGACTTCATTCAGCTGAAATTTACAGCTACAGCTCTGGTTGTTCTGCAATCTCAGCAACAGCAGTATTGACACTTCCCTATTGCATTTTATTATTTATATCACTCCATGTTATTGTATGCAAGATACAATACTTCATATTAGCTAAATGGTTTGTAGGAGTTTTCAAATAGAAAGAAATACAAAGAAAATCACTGGTACTGGCGAACTAAAATGCAACAAAAACATGTAAAAGGATAAGGATTTCTGAAGCAAAGATCTATCAAAGGTCAATGTTGCAGCTGTATCAATCAATATGCTGGAAAATGTTTAGTATCTCCGCTTGAATTGGTATCGTAACCTTCATGGACATTGTATAGCTGTGAGGTCTTGTCTGCCGTCAAAAGTACACGCTAAGAACTTTGGGTTAAAACATTAGAATATACTTTTAAAGATTTACATCGGTGTTAACACACCTCAACAAGAGATATCAGACCTTCACCCAGTCTAGGGGTACTGGGAGGTAACATCAGTTGGCACGGCTGTGAGGTGAGCCAGGAAAAGAAGAGAAGTAGACACTGACAAACTCAATCGGCTGAATTTTATTGAGTTATACTCAATATTTATGTTGCCATGGGTCAAAGATGGAAAAAAAGCATAACATAAAAGAACATGTACCTATGGGAGAAGGACTTGGATGGTGCCAATGAAAAGTAAATAATAAAACAAAAACAAGCCTAGTGTGTACATACATAAGAAGAATCCTACAAGCAACTGTAGGTGTGCATACAGACTTGTCTGCCCTGCCTCCCTGTGTCAAAGGTACAAGTTAAATTAATAGAAGAAAAAAAGACATGAACTAAGCTCATAATGAATACATAATAAATGATCAAGACTAGACCTGAGCATTTAGCTCCACTTCCACCCTCATAGTCCCTATCTCTTCCCCAGTCTCCTCCATACTGCTCCTCCAGCTGCTTTTAGTGTCACAAGCTCCTCCTTGGGCAGTGAGCAAAGCTCCCATTGGAGTTTGCTGTGGTATCCAGGGAATCTTTAGGAGAACGGAAACACCAGAACAGCCAAAAGCATGGAGAGACAGAGAAAAGAACACATACAAGCCCTGTCATGTAACTATCTGGTTTAGAAATGTGGGGAATCTGCAGGTTAAAGTTTGAAAGTTACTTAGACTGAGCACTGACACTGCTCTTTGACACTAGGTTGTATGCTCTGTGGAGGAGTCTCGTTTTTGTGAGCATACGTGTCTGCAGCCTGAGTAACATTTCTGTTGAACAACCCACAGAAACCCTGGTCAAAAAAAAAAGTTTTGTTTTGCTTTTTCTGCTCTGAAGATTCACTTTGGCACTGAATGAATAGTAAATGTTGGTGCTGCGTGACGCTGAAGTGTTAAGGCCCAGTGTGGTTTTCTGTGAAGGCACTGCTTTAGCATTCAGTTATAGTGACTTAAACTACCGTCAGTGCCACTCTGAAGAACTTTTGCACTTGTTATGGATTCTTCTTAAATTTCCATACCCTTTTTTCCAATTCTGCTTTTAACGTCCTCTTAGGGAACTTCAACTCTCAAATCAGAAGTATGATAAAAAAAAGTATTTTATTTCTGAGACTTACAAAGAGCTTTGTTTGCCATTACTCCATGTTTGAAAAGGGAATTGCATCAGATCGCAGTGATTTCTGGGCAGCTGACTTGTTCCCTTGGTCCCTTGTCTTCCAAGGGATCATCTATCAACTTTCACTTGAACTACTATAGTGATGGAACTGCCCTTAAGATGGTGTAGATTCCCCTCAGTGAAAATGATGAGATTGTTGAGGTTAAAGTGGGTGGCATGTAATTTATTTCAAATGTTCAAAGGCTTACCATGTAATTCTGGGAAAAAAAGGCAGTTGAAATTAGTACTAGAAAAGTGCTGTGTTGAATCCATGGAGTATAGCACAACAAAAGAGTTAGGATTTTCAAAAAAAAAAAAAATTTCTGATAAACTCCCACTTAATATGCTAAAGCTTTGAAGGAAGAAGGGAGTAAATCACATTTTCTGTGTAATTCCACATTTAATTTACTGCACTTTTCACACATTTACATGAAACCTAGTTTCACTGTAAAACATTATACACAATTTAAACATGTTCAATCTCCAGAGTAAAGCTGATGAGATTATGGTGTGGAAATGCATTTGGGAAGTGGATGTTTTTGTCCAGGTCGATGTTTTATAGCCTGAAGAAGTAGATGTCCTTTTGTGTTACAACTGGTCTATACATTAGGTATGAATCAAGCATTCTTGGACAGCTTTCTATACACAAATGAGTCAAGTTTTAGACAGAAAGGGATTGTCAGTGGAGTATCCCCACTGATATTGTTCTAGCCCAAGATATTTGCATTTGTGTGCAGAAAACTTTAAAATGTGTGATATTGTATCTAGTATGAAGTGCAGTGGTCTTACTGACATTCTCTACTCCACACTTCAGTAACTCCTAACTCAGACTGAAATATTTTCATCATGAAATGTTTAGTTTTTTTTTCTCTTTCAAAAAGGTGCTTAAGAATCTGTGGTGGAAAATGTGCTATGACATTCATCTGATGAATATCTGAGCCAGCAATTGAGTGAAATGTTAGACGAATATACAGTGATATGCTATGATCTTAAGTGTTGTCTTAACTACTAATCTGATTATTAGTGTGTGTGTGTGTTTAAAAGTGCAAAAAACAAACTCCCATCCCCCACCCTACCTCTTTGATTAAAAAATACTTAATATGTGAAGTATGTCATTACTTTGTCTCTAGCAAAATCAGTGTGTTGTCATGAGATTTAAATATTGGACCCCTTTTATCAAACACTTGATTATTTTATAAAAATTCTCCTGCCCATAAGATGTTTGACATCCCTAATAATGTGCCATTCAGATGAAGCAAAGACAAATTTTATGACTGTGAGGCATTAATCATTAACCATTCACGATCATACAAACGAAACCACAAATAAGATGACGAGCCTGTAAGAAGCAAAAGATGTATACAGAAGGGCATTAATATTCTTAAGCATTACAAAGCATACACCCCACAAAGAATATATATATTAATAGCTCTGACAGAGGTTTCAAAGTCCTTGCAGGCCATAGCTCTGCAGAGATTAATGTAGTTCCCTCTTCCAACACTGAATTTCACATATGAAAACCTTGCTACTTATGAATTCAATCACACGTGTTTAATGAGGTAAAATGATAAACTTTGCAGTACTGTTACTTGTGGGCTATGAGCAGGTGTTTCACTGTCTAGTACAGTGATTCCTAATGTTGGTTCCTAAAGTACCACTGTTTGCACAGTTCAGTATTTTCTTTGCTCCAGCATACCCAGTATAACTCGGGTCACCCAGGTTGTGATGGCCAGTCGCAGTGCATCTGCGGTCAGTGGACAGTGTGCAGACAACATATGAACAAAATCCAGAATAAAGTGGACCGAAAAGCATTTGTGCACTTGCCGCTTTTCTGAAGAAGTGTATGTTTTGGTGTAAAATCTTTTAATGCAAGCCTTGGTGCCTACTAAGCACACAGATGGACACACTCTATGGTAATCGCTGTCATACACAGACAAAATTTCCCTTTAGAAACCCGTTTTATACAAAAACCCTTTCAAAACTTCGTCACAAAACCCATATGCCAACTCAGCATTTGGTCAGCTATTAAACTCTCAGCACGAGAGCATGAGATTCAGACTCCTCACAAAATACATTCTACTTCTCAAAATTTAAATTTGTATTGCTAAGTAAATCAAAGACCCTAGCTTTTTTATTAGCCTTGGTTAGACCCACTAGGGAAACAATTACAGCACTTGACCTGAAAAGCTTGCATCATTTCAGAGTACAAGAGACAGGCATTTTTATCATGCTTTCTATTATGACATTTTAGTCCATAGAATTTTGCATCATTTAAATTTAGATTTACCTGATGCATCTTCAACACTGCTGATAAGTTAACTTGGCAAGTGACAAATGTAGTCTAATATCTAGTCTATCTAGTCTATCTAAAATGTAGTCTATCTATCTCAGTGTTTTGAACCCGGTCCTGAGGGTCCACATTTTTGCTCCAGCCTAACTCACCACACATAGGGATGAAGAAAAAACGTGGACCCTTGGGGGGGAATTAATACCGGATTAAATAAAATTTAATTCCATTGACAGATAATCAGAGGAGTTTCACCAGATCAAATTTCTTAAAACAAAAATGTCTAGAAATAAGCTGAATCTTAAAATGAATCTTAAAATTACAACTATATAATAATGAGAAACATATTTTAACTACTAACTATTTAAGATGCTTTCACTTGTAATGTAAGAGGCCTTAAAACATCAAGACATCAATCAAGCTCATATACTGGTGAACTGTTCATACAAAAATAGCAGTTTCATTGAAAAAAAATACATTCTGCATCAAAACACAACACAATAAAAGTCGTCACCCATCAGAAAGACTGTGAGGGTGAAAAAAAAAGAATTTTGCTAGAAGAAAAGAGCATCAATCACTGCAGTTTAGACAGAAAGGCAGGACCATGCTGGTGGTAGTCTTTTCAGCAGATCACATAGGGTCATTCTGAGCTCCTTGTGGGCCTCCCTCAGATCAGGAGAGTGAAAGCCTTCAGTCATGTTACTTGGAAGTAAGCTCTTTTTCTATAAACTACAATATACAAGGAAGGTGCCAGTTTTCACACCAGAATAAATTAAAAGGTAGTACCAGAAACAGCCTTTAAATCCAGTTTATGGTGGCTAGCAGCTGCTGGTGCGTGTGGCTCTATGGTTGGTCTCTCACAGGTCATCCTCACTGTCCCACGTGTCCTCTTTTTGGAGGAGCTGATATGACTGTCAGGAGTGGTCATCACTCTGGTTGATGATGTGGCTGTAGCCGATTGCTGGCTCGCTCTGACGACACAGCACTATGAACAACAGCATGACCAGGAGCAGGAGAACGCACCCACACACAGCCAGCCCAATGATAACATCTTCACCCACGTAAGCACACACACAGAGGAGGAAAAACAGTAAAAACAAAATTAAGTACCCTTCTGCTTGTGATTTAAATTGGACAACAGTGGAAACTAATTACTGCCTGCATGTGAGATCTGTAAGGTCTGTGAAGAATGCAAAATAATATGGATGCACAATGATATTAGCATCATACAGATACCAGCAGACATATGCTTTTTAAAAATGGCGGCATTGGATAGGCGTTTATGATATGACAATTTCAAACTGATATTTGATGACATTTATTGTACACCTGAGGAGCAGAATGATGAGGTGATGCTGAGTTACTGTGCTAAAATACCTGCATTTTCTTAATTTTACTGCATTTACAACTCTATAGATATTAAATGTTATATTTTTGTACAATGCCAATCCACGTAGATTCCCATTTTTGCATGTTATAAATGTTTATACTGTCATCAGCAGATTGGTACATGAAAAATATTGGACATCAGCATCAGACGACAATTACCATATCAGTGCATCTCTACACAATGCCTTTTTTTCCCCCCAACACTTAAGGTCTACACTAAGCTTTAAACTAAGCAATTATAGTGCAGAGGTGTGGACTTGAGTCATATGACTTGGACTTGAGTCGGACTCGAGTCACAAATCTGACTGCTTGAGACTCAACTCGAGAAAATCGAGAAAGACCTGCGACTCGACTTTGACTTAAACAACAATGACTCAATTCACCAGGCGAACTGACCATTTTCCTCATGATAGCAAAACAAAAGAACAAAAGAAACACAGCTCGCTCTATGTGACTGATTTTAACAGCTTCTGCAGGTAAAACAAGCACAACATTCACCATGAATTTGAAGCTGACTTCTTCAGCTTTGTACATTCACCATCATTTTGCTGTCTTTTCTGCCAACTTTGTTCAGCTCTGTCGTTTTGGTTTCTGTTGTTGTTTAAATTCAATTCAAACTAGCCGTTGTTTTTAGTTGGCTGAGCTAGTTTCAGTGCTAAGCTAGTTTTTTTTTTAATCCTGTGTGCCCAACGTTACTAAAATCATCAAATTATACTCAAATATAAAGTTTTGTAAATTAAGTTAAATAGAACTTTTTAAATTCTTTTCATGTGTAGTGCACTACTCTTTGTGTATACCAGTATGTCTGTCACACATTCTTAAAAAGGATGGTTCTTCAAAAGGTTCTTTGGTAAAGAAAATAGCTCTAAAAATGACCATGAACACCCAAAATAACACTCTGCATCATTAAATGGTTCTTCAGACTGATGGAGAATGTTCTGTAGACGGTTCTATAAAGAACTTTTTTGACACCGTAACAATAGAAGAACCCTTTGGGTGCTATACAGAACCCTTTTCAAAAAGGTTCTATATAGAACCATCTAGAGAACATTCTTAAGAATCCTTTCATGATGCAAAGAGTACTTTAACCATGCAAAGGATTCGAGTGTTTTTAGAACTATTTTCTAACCCTTGAAGAACCATCCTTTTTATACGTGTGGTTATGAATTTTGTTGGAAGGGTTAAAACCTAATGAAAAATTAACATACAGCCATACACTGCTAACATGTTGTCGTTAAAAGGCTGCATTACTGTTACCTTTATTTGATGTTATGGCCTTAAATTAGCTGGAGAATGCATGCTGACTTGTTTAGGACTCAAAGATTAGGACTCTTGACCTGGGACTTGAGTGTCAAGACTTGAGACTTACTTGTTACTTGCAACTTAGTGACTTGTTCCCACCTCTGTTAAAGTGTATTATGACATAACACTGGCTACTGTTATAAGCCTTATTTTATAAAGTATGTAATGTGGCACTACCATCATTTCCTGCTTGTATCTGCTTGATACCATGTGTTGAATCAGTGCCTTCTTCATCAGTCTTGTTTCTGTACCTGTGTCATCGGATGCTGCGCTCAGCTGGCACTCCTTGTCCCAGTCTACTGGAATAACAGAGCGTGTGAGTCTGATAAAGTCCTGTAGAGGGCAGCGCTGGGCACAGCCCGGTAAAGTAAGAGGATATGGCTCATCCACACTGCTGTCATTACGATAGAACATCTCAACTGAGAATGACCTGAGAAAGTAAGAGTGAGAGAGAAAGAAAATACACAGTGTGTGGGTAGAAGAGTAAGGAGCATGCAACAGAGTTGTTGAGCTTAGCAGAGAGTGTAGCGTACTAGACAATTATAGTATGCTTGCATGTTCAGAGAACGGAAATAAGTTTGTATTACTCGTTGTCCTGGTGCAGTTCAAATATGTGGCAGGAAGCATATGGTGGCTGCACTCCGTTAAACACATCAAGCGCTTGCTGAAGAGCCACAATGGTTGTGTCATGCTGAAGAACAAACAAAACACACACACACCACTCAACATTACAATGGAAGTCTTAAGTTCACAATACAGCTCCACATATGATAGCAAAACCATCCAGCCATAGTATGTTATAGGTGATATTTGTACTGTAGTTATATTTCTGACATCTAGGTAAACTGTACATTGAAATTGGGCCTCAATACCAGGGGTCTGTCCAAAGATGGGCTGATGAACTGTGGCGAGATATGTGCTGTGATCAGAACTCCAAGCAATGGTTGACTATAAAGCTATTATTTTAGTGCTCACTTACCGCAGAATACATAATCATCTTCAGCTGCCCACCGGAGCCTAAAGTTGCAGCAGCTGTAAAATTCTTAATAATCTGGTCCAACAACAGACCTGACATGAGAGAGACAGAACGAATAAATGACCATTAAACGATCTGATCCGCTATTTGTGTTTTCACAGATAAAACTAAAATCAAACTTATATTAAATTAAAAAAAAAACCTACATGTTATGGCCTGACATTTTCAAGATCTATTCTTTATACTTTATAAGACTTTTTAAGGATCTGTGAGAACCCTGCCTAATAACGTGCCTGTAGTTTTAGAAAAATTACAATCACTGTTGTTTCTAAGAGAGCAACCACTGCCAGCGCTCCTAATCTGCCTATTTATTTTGTTTTTGAGAAGGTGTGGATGGGCTGTGTGTGTATACACCAACTATCAAATACAGTCTACATAATGACGCTACTCCATTACCAGATCAAACACCATCTAAAGCCACACTATTGGCCAAAGGTATGTTAGGCCACACGTATCAGGGAAATACTAAAATCTGCTAGCACATGGTACCTTATGACTGGTCAGTAAAAGTCACCTATGTTTATGAATAAGCACATAGTTATATACAATTCCTCACATTGGTAATATGTTATTCTTTCACTTTCAAGTTGTCATTAACCCACTGCTTTTCATCCAAATTAGGCATAACTTAAACTGAATGGTGCATTGGCACACACACACACACACACACACACACACACAGTCTCTCTCTACCACTCACTCAGTGCATCTGCCTTATCACGATATGCAAAGAGTGGCTGGTATGCAAACACGCATAAATGGTGCCACGTAATGGGTTCATAATGTAACCTTTGTTTAAGTGTGTGGAACTGGCAGATTATGAAAATACTCTGGGCTGACCTCCCTGCAGCCGGCATTTCTCCTCTCGTTTATAGACGCCAAACATGATCTGAAAGCCGAAGTTCTTCAGAATCCGCAGTGTATTCATCACCTCTGGAGTCACCCAATCTGGAAGAGTCATGCCATGTTTCTCCTGAGAGACAGAGAGAGAGAGAGAGAGAGAGAGAGAGAGAGAGAGAGAGAGAGAGAGAGAGAGAGAGAGAGAGAAGGAAAGAGTTATGAGAAGTTCAGATACGGGTTCTGTCACTGAAAGTAATGTCCCTTTCACGTCAGGCTGTTGAAAGTGCCTAATAATAGTCAAAAGAGTGCAACTAGCATTCTCTTTTAAGCAATGTGGGCTGTTCTACAGCATTGCACACAGACAAGTTTGACAAAGCTGGGACTGTTTGATGTTGGCAGCTATAAAATAAAACAATAGGGTAAGAAATGGCTACAATTAGCACTGGGAACAAAAGGTAATTTGGAATTTGGAACACGTACAAAATAATAATTTGCTGTTAAATAATAAATCTATGCATCAATACAATAAATACAATAACTTACAAAATAATAAATTACTTCACCTACATTCATTAATATACAGTACCGTGCAAAAGTCAGAGACCGCTCTTCATCTGTTAAATTTCTAGTCAAAACAGCAATTAAGTTATTAATGTTAGTCAAAGTCAAAGGAAAGTAAGTGGAAAAAAAAAATGTTTTCCAAAAAAAGTTTCCAAAACTGGAGTTCAGAAAACTATTAAAAAGATACGTGGGAGAAATGGGACTCCTAACCCGGTAGACTACTAAAACTGTCACCATCAGATAAACAGTACTAAAAGTTTTCATTATTTTTTTTGGGGGGGGTGGGGGTTTGTATGTTAACTTATTCATGTCCTACATTTATCAAAAACAAGAACAAAGAAACTGTTCTGATTATACAAGAATATATCACTTTTGACAAGTTAAGCCTTGGCTGAACGTCTGACAGAAACCATTTGATATCTTTAATTACGTCATTTTCATATTTTTTTTTTCTATGTACATGTGTATTTTCAATATATGAATATTAATTAAATGACTTACTATTTATTATAGTCAGTATTTACATTACATGGACCACTGTACAAAATTAGTTCAAACTGCAGTCCCACACACAAAATACAGACCTTAGATATTTACAAGGATTATGTTATGTTCTATTCAAACTCCAGGCATTAATTGAGATAATAATACATTATTATCTCATGGTAAAGCTAAATATATTTAGGTATGAGTTTAATTTAAAAAACATGCTGTCCCACATTTTCATGTCACTACCAAAACACAGAGTTTTAGTTTGTTGTTGGAGCTTTATTTTAGCCACACCCCTGCATTTTACAGCAGGAAGTGAGACTGCATCTCTGTCCCTCATGGCCACATGGTGAGTAGTTAGACCCCATTTTTCTGAAGCAAAGGTGTCTCAAAATCTGAAAATCAGTGTGTAACCTTAAGAACTGTCACTACTGAAACACATTTTCTGCAATACAGTGAATATTCTTGTGTTTTAATGAAAAATATATAACTATTGTATAATTGTTCAAAAGAACTGGCTAGCGCTTGAGTTATACTCAAAATGAACTAAAACTGTCACTATTAAAACATTTGGTAAAGGTTTGAACGTGAGCTCACACAAAACAGAAAACTGGTGACCTGATATAACAAACCCCTGTTACTCTGTAATAGGCGCTGTATCAGTGCATCCCAGGTCTACCAATATCTGAGAAGACAATTCAGGTTGTTAAAACAATAGTTGGTAAAGTCTCAGTTTAACACATATGCTTTCCATGTACTGTTCAAGCTGATCACTTCACTACAGCAGTTACAAAGAAAGACTTTGGACTGATTCTTGGCATCATGACATGGATTTACCAAGTCAGGTGATGCACGCCAAAGTCCAAAGTATAAAGAAAGGAAAGAGAAAAGTGAAACTAATCTCAAACAAAGAACTCAGTGTGAATTTCTTCATCAACTTAGAGCCAGCTGCATCTACTCACATAGTGTGTGTGTGGTAATACAGCTAACTAAATTAGCAATTTTACAAATGTCACATAGCCTGAAGTCCCAGGGAATGTGGTGTATGATATTAAATGTATGTATGATACCAATTTATGTTAACAAGTCATGTTAAACACCCAGAATTTAAATGAGAGAGGGAAAACAGACACACACAAGACAGATACAGGGGGGGGGGAAGTATTATTGCTACATGTACAAACTTACTGATGGTGAGTTGAGGGTCCAACACTAACCTAATTAAAAAGCAATCATGAATTTAAATAATACAGGGCTTTAAGATTTCAGCTTGTATAATTATTATTATTATTATTATTATTATACCATTTACTTTTAGATGTTTAAAAAAGCCTATTTTCTATAAGTTAATAGTGGCTTAATATTCTGGACTGCCCTTCATTTTTAATAAGAACAGGTTTAACAAGTTAAGTGCATTTAAAATATTATTTAGCAAAACAGTAAAAACAGATTCTTGGCTTATCACCCATTACAACTGCCTACCCTCGAAATACTAGTATTACAGATTTTGCGTTGAGTATTTTTACCACTACTTGTCGCCCAACACCATCAACCTGTTACTCGCTACAGAAGAGGTCCATCTACTGACGCGTAAAAATTACTAAACGATAATGGCATTCTCTATTGCCAATACTGATACTGTATTTAAGTTGCAGTATCTGCGCCGATAACACTAATATTGGTGCAACCTCAGTTATAATTTTTAGCAACAATAAATGATGTCACAGGAGAACCTCACCTCGCAGAACAGCGTGTCATGGATGCTCCATATTGACTCGATGGAGGTCGACTGCACACCCGTCTTATTCCGCACCATCTCCAGGAAATCCTTCTCGAAAAAATGAGGAAAATATTCAAAACACTGCACACTGCAACTACTGCAGCCACCAATCTCTCACACAGATATATTCATATGTTATCACTGAACATGTTATCAGTAAGGAGCTTCTTAACCCCTTAAAGCCCAAAGGCCTGTATGCATATAACACACATTAGTTGTACAGAAGTTACTGAACAATTTTAGTAGAGAAAAAATAGGACTAAATAAACTGTAAAGGATCAATACATACTTTAATTCCTTACTCTCATAACCATAGAACTGCTAGTTCTATAGAAGTTACCGAATAAGTCTAAAGATAGACAGGGACAGATAGAAGAGCTTATTATGCATCGTTGAGGTAGGTCTGTGTGAGCAAGTGCAGACTCACGCCATAAGTCTTGGTCATGTTGAGGAAGATTTCTGTTTTTTCTGTCTCGTTCATGAGAAGACTGTAGCGTGGGCAGTTTGGTAGGGGAAACGAGAGCAACTGGAAAAACAAACACAACTGCAACTTAGAACCCAGTAAACATCACTGTGGTAAAAAAGGCTGAAGAAATAAAACTGAATAGAACTGAACTGAATTAAAACATTACTACAAAGTAGAGACGCTCAGTCTCTCAGCATCTCTACTGTGTAGTACTATTTTAATCAGCAGAACATATCAGCAATTGCAAATGCCTTAACCAAACTTGTCAGTTTGCTGCTTTGAATAGATCTGGATCAGGCTGAACAAGATATAGTTTCTTCATTGGTACTGTGGTATTGGCATTCATAATACTCATTTTGCAAAAGTGTGCAATTAGCAAATGAACCACTAACCAATCACAGAATGTTTTACTGTGCGCTGTGAGCATTCTGACCAATCACAAGTATTCTTTGGTCGTTTGGATTAATTTACATCACAAAAGGAATGAGCACTGTTTTTAAATATATTTGAAGGAACCGTAGATTCCATAACTGAAATAGGGAATTGTGTGCAGAGCTAAGGTGATGTAGAGGGGAGGTGCAGCCGCACTTTCTCTTCATCCTGCGGTACAGTGTGGATAGGTATGGGCTGCCAGTTCAAGCCAGGATGGAACACTTGCGATCCATTGGGTGGGTAGAGACCGGCCAGATTTGACTCAGCACTCATCAGAGTCCGGTCATAGTCTGTGCTCCGTACAGCAATCTGCAGAACACAAAGCAAAACATCCGCAGTAAAGACATTGACCTGAGGATGGGACTGAAACAGCCAGCACTGCAAGATGTATTAAAACATCTTTACACAACAGTAATCGATTCAATATTCTTGTCTCCATTTAACTCTTAATTTAAAAATATATACACTCCACTGACACTGTATTCTGCCTCTAGGAAGAGATTCGCTCATTACTATCTCTTACTGTTGAGTTTTACTTAGTAACATCAGACCTTATGAGCTTAAAAAAAATCAACATTATTGTATTTGTTTTAAACAGCATTATTAACATAGGACCACCTTCAAACTTGGAAACATTAAAAAGCTTTTTTAGAATCTTTGTATATTTGTTCCATCTGCCACTGCCTTTCTATTTGTCAATATCTATTTATCTGTCTTGCATCTATTCTGTTTCAGTTTCTTGTCCATTCTTCCAGTGAAATCAAATGTTTCAAAGCACGTAGTTTGACATGATCATGTGACATGTTAACATTTTTTTTTAAGTTGAGATGCTTACAATTGCTGCAGCTGAGTTTCAAATAAGTTGTAGGATGGCTTACATTGTGCAATTCAAGTGCAATCTGTAAGACATAGTCTGAAGTTACCTTTATTGGGCTCACGATAGCCACTTGGACTAGTTTCCCATTATCAGCATGAGCAGACTTAAAAACAAGCAATTTTTTTAACTTTTAAAAAGATTTATCAAAAATGCCCAAAGATATCAAGTAAAAAATATATTTGAGCTTATACTCTCTCTTCTAATTTTTAGTAAAAATACATAATCGTCATGCTGCTGTGAAATGCTTTGTTTGCACAACAAACAAAATTTCTTGCAAGTTTAACTGCTTAAAACCTACATGAAACTAAATTGCACTTGAATTGCACAATGTAAGCCATCCTACAACTTATTTGAAACTCAGCTGCAGCAATTGTAAGCATCTCAACTTAAAAAAAATGTTAACGTCACATGATCATATCAAACTACGTGCTTTGAAACATTTGATTTCACTGGAAGAATGGACAAGAAACTGAAACAATAGATACAAGACAGATAAATATATATTGACAAATAAAAAGGCAGATTGCACAACACCACACAGTGACTTTCGTGAGTCTTGCTTTCTTTAGTTACTCCCTTTGCCTTCTACATTGCTCAAAGTTCTTATGATGCAACAAAATGACAGAAGCCATATTGTCCCCATGTGCATGTGTATTGAAATCTGACAAAAATAATGCACATTATAAGGCACTCTTTTTTTGTTTTTTTTGTTTTTTTAAGTAAAATGATCCTATAACAGGGATGTAGCAACACTGTGCAATAACACTAATATAAGCAAGACTAAAAAAAGTACATAGCAACAACAACAGTAGCCCACCCAGCAGTAATAACAATACCTGCAGTAATGACACAGAGCTGGGCTGAAATGGCAAGCTGTATGACACCAGCACATCTAACTGCACTGCTTCCCTCTAAACCCACAGGTTTATCCTGCACAGGCATTTCTACAAGCACGTGTTTAATATCTCACACAAATAATATCATGCTCACACAGAACCAGTATTCAAGTACCAGCTAAGAGAGCAGTGTTCATTCACTAACTACTAACATGCAGAATGGCTGCTGCACACACTGTAAGGGTGTGTCCAACATAACTTTCAAGAATACACACTGAAATCACTTTAACCGATCAGAAAGGCTAATCCTAAGAAAGGACAACTTCATGTTTCGAAAAGCACTGTAAAAGTACATGTTCAACCTTCATATCAGTACACTACTAATCCACAATAACACTAGGTAATTATTATTTTATGCATGGCAAAACCATCTGTAAAACTGTTACACATTAACAAAAAACTGTCAAATGCAGAAATCAAAAACATGCAATAAATGGCAATTCCTTTAAGTGACCTAAACAAATTAATATTAAACTCTGTAAATTTCACTTAAAATTGAATCTCAATATTTTCTGGACATTTCCGTTTACCACAATTAAGCACATTTTAGTGCAGTGTTAAACTCTTTCCATACAGCATTGCTATGCTCATAAGATAAAACACTTTTCTAAAACCACAACACCCAAAATTCAGTGTCAGTCTAAGGTGATCAAGGGTCAATACAGACACAATACAGACACAATGACACGCCTATAGGGCTCATAACACAGAAAATGTTTTTTGTAGCTGTTTTGAAATGAGTTTTAAAAACTGTTAAAGCTCCAGCAACCAATTGTGAATTCACTGTTTTTGTGATGTCACAACAAACAATGTTTTGTTTTTTAAATATATCCACATATTCAGCCTACAGAAGTTTAGCCCCACCTATTCTCATTAAAGTTATAAGGAGTGTTTCAACCTGGACTGCTTTTTAAATGAGGCACAATACAGGACAGTCAATCAAATTTCTTATATGAGTCTTAAGGGCACAGTAATAAAAACAGACACTATAATTTTAGAGGACAAAGAGAGGTTGGAAATGCTCATGTAAAAATTAATTATGACTTTTTATTACATAAACCTTCTCAAACGTTATAAATAGACCTTAGAGGAAAAAATATAAGAAAAATGTATGCTATAAGCCCTTTAAACCCACTTTCAAACCAGTTCAGTGAATAACACAGACCTCATATCGAACGTATGGCTCACTCAGGAATCCCACATAGCGTTTCCGCAGAAACTGGCCCAGCTCAAAGTGCTGCTGCATCCCATCCTGTAGACACAAAAACAAGATAAGTAGTTTAGCAGTGAAAGCCACAAAAACCAACAAAAACACACAAAAGAAATCATGCAGTAAAGCCAGTAAATGGCAGACCCAAACACAGACTTTTACAGGTGTACAGAAAGGTGTAAATGGGTAATTTGTCACAAGCCCTCTAGCAAAATGGGGAAAGCATGACCAAAAATTCTCTTATAAAGTATTGAGTGATTATTTGTACTAATTACACCAGTAAATGAATTACAAAAAAGGGCAAACAGCGCAAAGCTTCTGTGAAGATCTTAAATTCTCCTTAACCAGAAAAAATTTTAAAATGACTCACTTCTGTATAATTATGTGTGTGGTAGTAAAGGGTAAACTTATTAAAACATAATGCTATAATTTAGTAGTCAAACAACAGTCCTGTAGATAAATCTTCCCTTACTTCTGAATGAAATATAATTATAATTAAGGTAGTACAGATTGTGTCATACTTTTCAGTTATTTTTCTGTTTCACTCCAAATTGTTCTCCATATGGAACCAAATAATTGTGAAATTGAGTGCGAGATTGTATGTGTGTGCATATAGACGTGTGTTTGAACAGTACCCGAGTAAGCTGTCCAAATCCTTGAGGCCATGCACTCTCCTGGTACGGGTCGGTGGGGTAGGCTCTGACTGGAGACCGGTCTCCATGGCGATACAGCTAAGTAAACGTGAAGACAGAGGTTTCAGTCTGATAGGATTATAATAGTAAGTCTAATAAGATTTATAAATAGAACATTTTCACATGATTTCTTAAAACATCTGAAGTTCTTCTAGTGGTGAATATGGCACTAGATTGCCACCTTTCATGTAAATCATGCAAATTAAAGGCTATCTGGAAAACACTAGGGCTGCACAATAACTTCTTTGCTAATTGTTAGCAATATTAGCCTGTGCAATACAGACATCACTGAGGGTGGCAACATGCAATTGACCCCTCTAATCAATAACAAAGTTCTCTAATGTATGCTGTGAGCATCCTGACCAATCACAGACTTTATGATTGGTTCTGTGGGTGTTTTGATAAATCAGCGCATTCACAAGATCGCACAAATGTAAATAATTTTTCTGAAAATAATGCAGATCAGTCTTTTTACCTGTAAGATAAAAGTCTCATGATTGTGTTTGAGTGCGACCGCAATTAGGGATACACTGATATGGGAACTGTAGGCCAATGTCAATATCTGAAATTTTTCATGTATATACAGTGCTGTGCAAATGTCTTAAGACATTTTAGACAGCTGTATATATAGCAATTTATTTGGATAGTAAATTTTATTACGAAAAAAAACAACAACAAAAGCAAACATTGGAATAAATGCAAATAAACTATGCTCAACTATTTACAAGCTTCTATTGTAGGAAGCCCAGTATTTACATTTATCAGTCAAAACCTAGTTTTAACCCCTAATTAAACTTAATCAGGTGGGCTCCTGATGGAATTTAACAAAATCTATGCAGCGACATATTTTCTTCTTACTGTATTCTTCTAAACCAAGTTATTAAAAGCTTTGCTGAAGACAATACATTTTCTGCATTTATGTTTATTTGTATTAATTTTTGGTTATGAAAGACCAGTTTCCCAGACTCAGATTAAGCCTAATCCTAAACTAAAGAGAATTTCTATTGCTGATCCATCATTGGCACCACAACATAGTTCAAGACTAGGCTTAATCCATGTTTAGGAAACTGGCCCAGAGTGTTTTTACTGAATAAAAACACAATTCCTGCCAGGATAAGTAGTTTCAGTATCATTTATCCTTAGCATTTTGTATCTGCCAACACCAATACATAACTATTTACAATACATACAAACTGGGAATAGGTCTACCTGGATTAGCAGTATGGCAAAATATAACATTTATTTCTATAGAGTGACAAATGCAGTAAAATAAATGAGATGCAGATATTTTAGCACAGTGGCCTAGCATCACCTAAACATTCTGCTCCTCCACAACATACAACAAATGTGTCATCATATATCAGTAACAAACATTTGTCCAATGCTGATAATTTATTCAACCAATTGTTACCAGACACACATATGATTCTGTTATCTGTGTGCATCACTAATCACAATATGTAGTAACAGAATTGGAATATGACTGGATAAATCAGTACAAAACCTGGTTTGCTCTTCTTACTGGACTTCCTAAGAAAATAATACATCCTTTACAACTTGTACAAAATGCAGCAGCACAGATCCTAATAAAAACAAATAAAGAGAGCTCATATCACTCCCATTTTGAAAGAATTGCACTGGCTACCTATATTGTTCAGTATAGGTTTTAAAGTTCTGCTACTAGTTTTTAAGGCTCTAAATGACCTAGCACCCGCTTACATTACAGAGTGTCTGTCTGTTTGTATTCCAGCATGTAATCTAAGATCTGCAGATAGTGGCCTTCTGCAAACACCTTCTGTAAAATACAGAAAACATGGAGAGGCCTCATTCAGTTATTATGCTTCTAAACTGTAGAACTCAATTCCACCTTTTATTAGACAGTCAAGCTCAGTGCTCACTTTTAAGAAGAATCTAAAAATGTATCTCTTTAACTTAGCAATTAATTAAAACTCTACGTCTTGTGGTACTTATCTTTTAATTTGATCTGTGTCAATGTCTTCCAATTCTAAATTAATACTTATAATTTCTTGTATAACTATGTTTTATCACCTGTCTGTAAAGAACTTTGAGCTGCCACTGACATTAAAAATGTGCTATATAAATAAAAATTATTATTATTTATTATTAAATGGATAAATTGTCAAGCAGCCCCAGAAAACAATAATACAAATCTCACTCCGTGATCTTTAGAAATGGCAAGAAAAGAGTAACACAGATCCAGGTATTAAAGCAGATCTACTTCTGATCAAAGCTGCCAAGCAAAGTCAGTTTAACATAGTTGAGTTGGTTGTGGAATTTAGTGGAGCCTCTTTGGTTCTAATCATCAATTTGGATTTGCTGTGAGCTGTGGCTATGCAATAGTAACCAAAAAAGCTTGCTGGTAGCACTTAAAGTGTACCTCCTATTTAGGGCTACTATTCCAGTCAAATTTAATCTAGTTTTGCCAATCCAACTCACATCACTGGCAATATGTTACATAATGACTGACATCAAGTATGGATTATTGAATTACAATTTGTAGTATAACAGCTTACATTGTTATACTGTGTCATGCCAACATAGCCCATTTCATCATAATCTTTTTACAAATTTAGAAATTACATATAACAGCCACATGTACTAAGACTTGCACACAGCTGCCCACTGATAAGGACAAAAATTATGTCAATAGGCTACCATAAGTTCAGTACTATGTATTAGATATTCATAAGGGTGTAACAATTTCAGTACAGTATTGAACAATGGAAAAACTGTATCTGCAGATATTTCATAATTTCAAAAAATATTACTGGCATTGGATACATGTTTAGATTTGTATTTTTTTACTCCAGAAAAGCAGAACATTTAGGCATTGCTGGGTTACTATGTGAAAATATCTGTATTTTATTAATCTTCTTGCATTTGTAGCCATACTACAGAAACAAATGTTATATTTTGCATCGGCAAATACGTGCATGAAAAATATTGGATATCAGCATCAGCCCAAAGTTTCCTTTGTTTTATATGAGGCAGTTCAGGTTTTATTCCGTTTATTGCTGTTGTACTGTGTCTTAGAACAAGGACAAGTTATTTTGCAATCTTTTATTTTGAAACAGCATTTGCAACTTCCATACTAACTGGTGTTGTATATAATTAGTGTTCTGTAACATCAATTAATTTTGATCTCAAAAAATCATATCCAATCTAAAACAATTTTTATTATACCTCTAGTTCTTGGTGTACAGTCTCAGTATAGTGCTACCTGCAACCCAACCCTCTTACTGGCCAGAGCTTGACAAAACTGCATATTAGACTGATACCTGTCTTTTTTCCACCTATTTTAAACCACTGCCCAAGGAAAGTGATTGTCAAGAAGGTTGAGTGTTTGAGAAGCCACCCCTAGGAGATACTGTCTTTTCTCTAAAGACATCCACAACTTCTGTTCAGCAAGTTAAGGAGTCATTATCACACATATCATACCTGCCCTGAAAATCTCTCTCAAAGATACTGAGATCTCTTCTAACAAAATGTTTAACAACAAAACCCGCCAAGGATGTTTAGACAGAACTTTAAGAAGTAGTTGGTTAAAGAGCCATGACTACGGAGAAGCACTTGCTTTCCATACTGCCACATTCCCACATTCATACGAAATGCCATCCTTATTTTGGCAATAAAGTATCAACTCAACAGAAGATGAGCTCTTTCATTTCATGAATGTGATTCACTTATTTCACAGTATTTTTGGCTCATCTAATGGGTTTAAACTGAATGACTGTGTCCGGCTTATCTGTTTAAGGTTTCACAGGATTCACACAGGCAAAACCACTTGCAGTAAGAATGCTTTCAAATGTTACAAAACTCTACTTAGAAAAATATAAACATGAGTTTATAGCTCACTCTTTACAAGAAGCCAAATGTGAAAGCTCTCAGGTCCAGCAATGACCAGAGATGATCCTGGATAACTGAGAATAAGTGGGGGCAACATCATATTTATCATTATCCTAATAAATTACGTCATATTATGTCACAATATGACCTCATTAATACCTAAAGAACACTGACTCCACGTTTCATTACAAAGACAGCATAATCAGTCTTGTTTCAAATTTTGTTTAATGTATGTAAAATCACCGTACTCATAGTTTTTGAAAATACACTTTAAATGTGGCACTTTTGGTCGTTTGTTCATTCTAACATATCGAAACTAATAAAAACTAAATATCGAGATGCGTATTATGCATCGTGAAAATGTCAAAGTATCTTTATATTTCGCCATATCGCCCACACCACTTAAGAAGGTTAACAAAACACAGACGCATTCAGCCGATTGAGTTTTCGTAATCATGCGTGTCTGCCAAGTTCCGCAAAGAACTTTTCCAGCCAGGTTGTTCCTGTAACGTTAAGTATTCACACGAAAGACAGTCAGCACTTTTTACTACAGAGAAAACTACGAGTTGATTTGAGCTCTTAACAACGTAACACTCAAAAAGCGCTTTAAGTCTGTTACACAGACAGATGTGAAAACTAGTACAAGATAGCTAACCTAACCTACGTAGCTTTGTCAAAAAGCAAAGAGTGCATCAGTTTAACTCACTATGTCAAGATCAGACGAAAGAAATTAATGGTGTTAAACTAACTGGAAGTGCATATCTCCAGATTTAACGTTACACTTGACTGTCAAAAAACATTTTCACTCATTACGTCAATTTTGAGAGCATTTGACATTTTAAGTAGGTTAAAACACACATCTCACTCGTTAAAAGCCAGATAATCTAGCCATCACGCGATATTTAGTTGCTTCTGAGGCCAGTCTGTTAGTTAACCTACTGAGATGAAAACACCTGAGTAATCACAAACATAGCTAGCTAACTAACCAGTTAACGTTAGCTTATAACGCAAACTAACAAAACTGACCTTAAAGCGGGCGCGATATGTCTTTCAGAACCATACTCACCACTGTGACGAGCTTAAGTTGACTTTCTCCAAATGATTCATCGAAGGCACACAACAAAAGAATCAAGAGATACGAAGCCATTCTTGCAGACGCTTCAACAAACATTAATGGCACAGCTAGCCAGGCAGCTAGCTAGCTACCGGACAGGGAATCAAATGTTCCTTGTTTGTCTTTCACATCACGGGGCAGACTAAGTCGGGCTCTCATTGGCTGCCGCTGAAAGAGGCGGTACCAACGATCTGCAAATTATTAACCCGAAGTGAGTCCATACGTGATGACCAGTACATTTTGCAGTGAATCTGCAAAAGCCCGTTTTCAGGAACAAAACCGTTGCCTACAAACGGTAGAAAAAGGCTCACGCAAATAATTGGTGTTCGATTCTTTATTTGTAGGAAATCACACTCTTACTGCATGTTCCCATTTCCTCACCGCCGTTATTATTTACCCTGCTAAAAAATCATAGAAATTAAGTTTCTGTTGGTTCCTGGTGTTAGTAGGGATTTTGTGTTTTCCTAATTGGATCATATCACAGTGTAAATGATTCTAATAGTAGAGGTCAAAAAACAGACTGTCAGACGACTAGAGCGAAAATGGCGCCTGACTAAACTATAGTCCGCAACTATAGTCCGAAAGCCTTATAGACTATAGAAGAGCACTTACTGCAGTACCCTCAACCTATCTCTCCTCTCTCCTAGAAAACAATAAGAATAATCCTAGATTATTATGTAGCACAACTTCTAAAATAACTAAGAACCAAACAGTTACTGAAACCCAGCCATTAGCCTATAGCAGCAATGATTTTATGAATTTCTTTAGTGATAAAAATGAAAAGAATTAGGCAGAAAATTCAGAACGCATAGTTAAACTCTACAAACTTGCTGCCTTATAATGCCAGTCTAGATCTTGAGAATATTGTAACTATTGCAGAGAGGCTGGAATTGTTTACCTTACTTCAACAAAATGAACTACTTAAAATTGTTTCCTCCTGCAAAATCTTCTACTTGTACGTTAGATCCGATTCCTACAGGTTTACTCAAAGAAATTTTACCAGAAATAACCAAGCCTATTCTGTCAACAATAAACTCCTCTCTTAGCCTTGGCTATATCCCAAAAACTCTTAAACTAGCAGTAATTAGACCTCTGATTAAGAGAGCTAACCTTAATCCCTGCGAACTATCAAATTATAGACCTATCTCGAATCTCCCCTTCATATCTAAGGTCTTGGAAAAAATTGTGGCAGAACAATTAAGCTCCTATTTTTCATATAAATGAAAAATTTCAGTCTGGTTTTAGGCCACATCATAGTACAGAGACAGCACTAGTAAACAATCTTTTATTATTCTCTGACCAAGGAAATGTGTCTTTGCTAGTCCTCCTTGATCTTAGTGCGGCATTTGACACGATAGACCACTCTATATAACTAGATAGACTAGAAAACCTTGTAGGGGTAACAGGAATAGCTCTTTCCTGGTTCAGATCTTACCTCACTGATTGCTATCAGTTTGTTAATGTAAACGGTGAATCATCTGTTCTCACAAAAGTAAAGTATGGTGTTTCACAAGGTTCTGTTTTAGGACCTATATTATTCACATTATATATGCTACCACTGGGCACCATTACCAGTAAACACGGCATCAATTTCCACTACTATGTCGATGACACACAGTGAAACCAGATGATAAAATTCAGCTTAGCAAGATTGATGACTGTATAAAAGACATAAAAGACTGGATGTCAAGTAACTTTCTAATACTTAACTCAGATAAAACAGAGGTTCTGCTTCTTGGTCCAAAAGCTGCTAGAAACAAACTGTCTAATTTAACACTTAAACTTAACAGTTTCTCAGTTGCATCAGGTCAGATCTGTAAAAAATCTTGTGTCACGATAGATCCTGATCTGTCCTTCGATGCACATATAACGACTATTACTAGAATAGCCTTCCTGCATCTCCGCAATATTGCTAAATTAAGAAATGCATTACCTCTACAGGATGCAGAAAAGCTAGTTCATGCATTTATTACCTCAAGGCTGGATTACTGTATTGCCCTGCTGTCTGGATGTTCCAGCAAAAGCCTTAACAAGCTTCAGCTAGTCCAGAACGCTGCAGCCAGAGTCCTCACAAGAACCAGAAAGTTTGACCATATCAGCCCAGTTTTATCAAACCTACTCTAGTTGCCAGTTAAATTTCATATCGATTACAAAATTCTTTTATTGACATATAAATCTCTAAATGGCCTCGCCCCTCAGTACCTGAGTGAACTTCTCTCATACTATCAACCATCACACCTACTTGGATCACAAGGTGCTGGCTTATTATTAGTACCTAGAATTAATTAAGTTACATCAGGGGGAAGAGCTTTCTCATTCAAAGCCCCCAACTTTGGAATAATCTTCCAGTCAGTGTTCAGGACTCAGCCTCAGTCTTTTAATCTAGGCCAAAAACTTACTTGTTTAGTCAAGCCTTTGGCAATTAGTTTTCCATGTTAGTTAAAAGGTGCAGATCTGAGGGTTCATGGACACAGAGTATTATGGTAAACGTGGAATGTTGGTGGTATTACATTTAGGCTGTAATAACTAGACCTGCCGGAGTCTCTGCTGAACTCTGTCTGCTGCACCAGATAGTAACACTGTAAACTGTGATCAGTCACTCTTTACAGAACTGACTCTCTGTGTGTTTCCTTTTCTTTGCCAACAGCTGCCCATCCTGTGCGTCTGATGCTGTTGCTTCTTCTGCCTTGATCGGGTACCCACTGCTCGCCAGCCTTCTGGACCGGTTTGACCACCATTGAGCTTCATGCTGTACAATGCTGTGCAAACCTCACCCTCATGAACTGACCCTCCTGATGATGCTGCTGCTGCATAAACTAAAACTAATCTAATTAACCATTGCTCTGCATATTTTCCCCGTTTTGTATGATAATATTTTATTTTACTGCTGTTTGCTATCTGGTGTCGACCAGAGGAGGATGAGTTTCCCCTTTTGAGTCTTGGTTCCTCTCAAGGTTTCTTCCTCTTGCTCTTGCAGGAAACTAGTGGTCTGTATTGGCAACTATAAAGCATTTTAATACTAATGAGAATCATTATGAACCAGTTAACACCTTTGTTATGTAAGTTATAAAGTACTTTGTAACTGAAGATTCAGATACAAAATGTTTTAGATCAATCTTTCTTTAGTTTTTGTACTTACAAAATGTGACCCTGGCTATTGAATGTCGAGCAGTAGCGCCAGAGACAGTTTAAAATGGCTCACTAAAAATGAATTCTAATTGAAATCTAGATGGTTTACTAGAAGTTCTCAGGTAGGTCCTCCGACCGCGCTCCATACCAATCTATCTCATCGATGCGCTCGGCGAACGATTAGCAAAGATCTGTGCTCTTCTTGTTTTGTCTACTGGGTAGACGTGATTTCGGGAAAAAAAAAGATGTTGAAGCTAATAAGCGAACATGTTCGCCAAAAACTACAGAAACCAGTCTGTGTTCAAATGGGTGAATGTAAGAAGCATTGGCTATTCGTAGAAATGAATATATAATTTCATTATGCAGCACACTTGTCAATAAATGAGATGGGTGCCTCTGTGTAACAAGCAAAACAACATATCGGTAGAGTCAGCTAGTTAGCTAGCTAGCTAGCTAGCTCACTCACTTAGCTAGGCTAGCGATTCAGGCCTTTGCGGAGTGGATGTCAATAAACAAGTTGAGGTCTGCCGTCAACACAACAGTCTCATCCCTAAAACCGTGGGTACGAAAGCTTTGTATATGTACTTGCAACTTTTGGGTGATGAAGAAAAGTCTGCCCAGCTAGCTAAAAAGAGCTTTTTTAACATTATTGTGTTTAGCAAGCGAGCTCTTTAAGTATCTGCTATTAACTACTTGCTAACATTAAAACTGAGATGATGTTTACACACATTAACCTATGTAGTTTGCTAAGGTACGTTAACATTAAAAACCCAGCTTGATCCGCATTGTAGTATTGTAGATGTGTGCATTATACCTGCGTAATAACTCACGCAGTAGTACTTAGTTTTCTCTTTGCACTAAATAAGAATAAGAGTATTGGAAGGGAATTGCAAGTTAAATATTATAAGTTGTCCGATATACTACTTTTTTTTATTTCTTCGCTGGACAAAACAGTTGGTAACTGAGCTAAATAGCTGATAAAGGGGTAAGTTAGAACTATCAAACTAACACCAGTATTGAGAATTTAAGCGGTTACCAATGCAGTGTAATTACCACCACTTCAAAATGTATATCTGTTTATAATTGCATCACTCTCCAACCTAGCTAGCTAGCGTTAACAATTGGTGCATAATAAGGTTCGGTAAGAGCGCTAAAACAGGACCACGTTTCCTCGCGTTGTCTGGTCTGGTTATTATATAAGGCAATTGAGCTTGCTTTAGGTAGCTAAAATGTTTGATTTTTCACCGACAAAGGCATGTGAAATAACCTAGCCAAATACAGAGTGCATATTTTGACAGCTGTGTTTTAGCATATTTACCCATAACCATTGGTTTAATCCACGCTAATCTTTGTGGGTCAAATTAGACAGTCAGTATCTGAGATAACATGCAGAATTAAAGGCTTGGGTGCTTCTCCTCTTCTCCTCAGGGCCAGGGAATTTACACGTCCTCTGTAGTGTTGTGCCGTGTGCATGCTGTGCAAAGTCAGGAAATTCAGTATCATCACTGTTCCATATAGTTAGAGAGGAAGCATTATATGTCTGTCTGAAATTCTGTTGTTAAGATTAAGATTTTGACTGTCTGGTTTGTGTGAGACATCAACTCCAGCACTTATTTATGCTGTATATATGATGTGTGAAACTTGTAAATCAGCAATGATCAGTTGTAAATGTTTGTTTCTGTCACATACTGTTGTAAATCTTGGCTGTATTGCAGTATTAAAGTCTTCTCTCTCTTCTATTATTGGCTCTAAGTTTTGTTCTCCCTTACTTATTTTGGCATTCAGAAAATGCACTTTTAAAGATGCTTGTTTGGTGATCTGGCCCTTCTCTAAGAAGCATCGCAGAATTGTAATAAAAACATATCTTAGCTCCAAAATGCACAGTAATGCAGAAAAACACACATTAATCCAAAAAAGTATAAATCTATCATGGAGCTTCAGGTTTACTTTAGTTGAAGTGCTCCTACTTTGAGTCAAGCTCACATTTTCACTTCCTGTC